GATTGATTGACAACGACGACAACAGAATACGTTTATTACATTCGGGAGATGTTAGTCACACAAACAGAATACATTTTCTGCAGCCATAGCAAATATAGAAACCTTAACTATGACAATTAAAGAATACAGTTTTTATATGTTTACCACAATGTTGTATTGTTGTGTTATTTAGAGAGATGAGCTCATTACACAAGCGAATTTCATAACCGAGTGCTGTTATCACGCGATGATGGGCAGTTGTGATTCCTGTATTTCTTATAATGTATTAAATATGGCCGCAGTGATAGGCATACGAAGATTGATACCAAACGTTTTATTTAAGCTGCATGCAGCTAATGACAGTTTTACATAAAAAAAAAAATTCTTTCCATGACAACTACAATTACAAGTCTAAAAAGATGCCCTGACCAATTCAGACTGAAACAATCGGCTAAAGAATATTTCATCTTCTCACCAAATTTGCCTCATTTTATTTTGCTCAACACCCGCATTACCCAAATCGTTTGGAATGTCCCTCGTGTTTTTCCCAACCCGCGAAATATTTATTTATTTTTTGTTATCTCTGCAAATAATTCGCATAGAATTCCCTTAATTTAATCTAATTAAATTGACAAAATTGTCTATCTAAACACATGGCAAAATTTCAAACCTCAGGTTTAACAACGCTTCGTATCTCAAACAAATCTCAAAATTGCCCTCAACATAATATTCCCTGGCCTTTAAATTAAAACGGTCTGTCCTGCCCGCAAAAGTAGTCATGGAACACATTTTCCGATGAACAACTATATTGACTGACACGTGCAAACACACATTCGTAGGTACATGTCAAAATGAGAATCGTCTTTATTTTTATGGGAACAGAATAATGGTGGGTGTTATTAAGAAGAGAGATGCATTGAATATTGCTGATTTATGCACAATTTTCTTAATGTTTTCATTTGTCCAGGTTCAGCACAAGGTGACACGGTGTATTGACATCTAATAACGACCTTCCACGTATTATCTATCAACCAATGAGAACGCGACGTTTCCATTATCGATAGTCCATTGCAATATAATCAGTAGTGCAGAATACACCGTAGAATACTGAGTGATAAGAGTGTGTCGTTTTTATCACTTACAAATTGACACGCACCGCACATATATCAAACAATTATATGTGAGTGAATTGAGCTGTGCACTGTCTCTGTCATTTCGATAACATTAATATTGTGAACAATGTAAATACTGTTGTCCTGGCAACAAAGTGTACCATGAGTTGTACATACAAGAACAAAGTGAACAATTTTTTAGATGTTATGCCATTGTAAAGTCAATGAGAAAACTACAATGGGATGATATAACACTTTAATCTCATTGGAGGTTAAAAACTATGTAAAGTTAAGCATATTTGTCATTCTATACATTAAATGAAATGGTAGTTATCTTAGTTAGATAATAATGTTTCTTAGTAAATATTCAATATAACCAGATATTTCGGGCAATAATGTTTCATTTATAGTATTTGAATAGCAATTACCAGTTTTCTAACGTATGTCACGTATCACCGAAATTACAATAGGTTCGTGATAAAAATACCGCCGTGAACTGTGTTGAATTGAATATGTGTTTCACCACATGGCAAGATGGAAATGAAAGACACGCTGAGTTTAGTACAATGAAAAATATGAAACATTCTTACAATGGCTGTAGTTCGTTTTTCATTATTATGTGATAAAGTGTGTGGTAAATTCCTATTTATAAATTAATATATTTTAATTAATGAAATGCACACATCAACTATCTGTTTAGTATTGACAATTGTACGTATTAATCATTATTGACAGCTATTTTTTTTTTTAATTTACATATCTGAAAATGATATAAAATATAAACAACGCTTGTAGTGTATCCAGCACACATCTTGAATTCTGTATTATATAGTGTGTCTGCAATCATTAACAATACTTAAGCATCATACCTGTTACACGTCTAAATAATTTTATTATTAATTACATATTTTGCGCAATTAAAGCATGTTACTGTTTATGAATTATACCCTGGCTGTCATTACAAATACAAAGGTGTTATTTCATTAATAAAAAAACGCCAGTATGCGACTTATATAATGATTGTTTTGAAAATTGTATGAAAATTTGATCAGGTGTGTAACGGAAATGTCACATGAAACACTGTATAATGAACGTATAGTGTTTGAATAAACATGTCTTGACCGGAAGTGAATTCTTTGAAGCATAGACCGTATCTTTACATATTACTGTGCATTGTGGGATAGTTTTATCAGGTTACACGAGAAGAAGCGCACTGTGCTAGCAGAACTTGTGTTCGATTCGGTCCAACATATTCCACAATCCAGTATGATCTAGAATTGCGATGTGATCCCTTATCTTCATATAGCTACATATACAACAATACAAACATACGCCAAATAGGACGCCAAGGCGAGAAAGAAGATTTGCGTAATTGTCATCATTTAACCGAACATGTATTGAACATTATCACACAATAATATACTATAATGTCAAAAAATTGAATACACGTGCAATTGTAGCTCGAGAAAGTGGGAGAAGCGCGTCGTAAACCGTCGCGCGTAATTCAGTTACGCGTGACATTTCACTAGCAAACAACGACTGGAAGATTTCTTAAAATGAATGAATCACAAAGTATTTGTTGTTTAAAATATCCGTACAATCGTGGGAAAACATTGATTATGATTGTATCAAACACAATCTTGTTTGTATGTCTGTACACTGACTATCCAGTCTGATATCAGGGCTGTACGTAATACCGATCGATCAATCAAAACGGGGTGTTTCAATAATGGGCACCCTAGTTAGTATAATTTGCGACATGGCCTTGGTATTGTGTGTTTTTACGGTATTCATTATATGTCGGAAGAATTAAATGTAGCACTGCACCACTCATTATTCACTGTAGAACCGTGTTAACTACGCTCCATTTCGGGCAGTGTGACTCAATTGTGAGTGCGTCTGCTTACAGGGCTAGGTGCATGTCGTGAGTTTTAATCCAGTATGGAATTTTGCATGTCGATTTGCTGGTAATTATAAAGCTTTCCGCATTCTGAACATTACGTCAATCTAACTAAACCTATTAATCAGGTACCTGCGTACTCAAAATTAAATTCTTCATCTTATTTTGTGAATGACGTAAGGCATGATTGGAGATGTAGATTCATTATTTTTGTGAAATGAAATGACATATAATATTTGAAATGACAAACACGGAGATTCGTAGCATGTCTATAAGCATATTAGTTTGCGAGACAACATGACAATGTCGTCAAAGCAATTCCAAAATTCCTGAAATGAACGCAAAAGCTGCTAACACTGTATCCCACTCAAACGGCTTAGTTCTTTACATAACCTAACGTAACTGTCACGTTAAGCAAGAAAGTTACTCACTGACGTTATAACGTTCATATCAATACAGGCGATTGTATAATGCCCGCAGAGTACCTCCCCCACCTCGCCGTCATATGTGTTGGCAGAAGCGAAAACAAACAGAGCTGCACAATACAACAATTTATAACACAAACATGATGTGTATCACTAAAACTCTATACGTCGTCGTGATGACCTCATGACCGATTGCAAAATCGTAGCAGTAAACATACTTCGCTGATCCCAAAGCGCCCCTGGCTGATAATTATATGATGCAGTATTTAATGACATATACCGAACACTAATGATGTAAGATCAACTCAAAATGTTCCAGGCGTCATATATTGATGGTAACGACTAGGTATGTCAACGCAACGAAGGTAGTATCAATCTTATAACTCGTAGATAAATGTTGATCATAATTATTGTTTAACGATCTCAATAGCAGAGTTTCTAAAAATAGCTCGAATACCGGAGTGCCATACAGCCAAACCGCACAACTGAACGTGCAATTTTCAACTAAAAATAATTCTTTCAAGTCAGATAGTGAGACAAATTACGAGTTTATAAATGTTTATTTCCTAGAACATATGTGGCAATATCTTTCTGCCAAATAGATTCCAATAAATGCATTCGAAAAATAATCAACTACAAGCTAGTTCAGGAAACTCATCGTGCGTACGTTGTATCTCGCTTTTCTTGACTTCCGATTCATATTGCGAACACACTGACATCAAGTCATCCCATGACAGTTACACATGTAATTATAGCAATGTGAATATACTCTGTAGTCGTGGATAGGAAATTAAACAGTGTACTAATGGGTAGCAATATGGCTTGCTTAACCCATTATATGACGTATACATAAACATGAGTTAGATATGTCTCTCTAATGTTTGTACTACATCGCTTTGAATAAACAACTATCTAATATACAATAGTTCCCGACTATAAAGAATCGATGAATTCACAACAAGTACGTAGTTGATTATCGGTACAGTTCAGGGAGGCTAACAACTTTTTTTTTTGCCAGATGTAATTCACCATGAATAACCTGTTCTTATAACTCAATGTAATTTTGCTTGTGAATATTTCACATTTTTATTTTAGTTTAAATACACCATAAATCACAGCAAACGTACATTTATCATTCCTTCAGTGACCAATATTGACCATCTTATATCAGTCTTATAAGATGCGTAATTTGCAGTAGCTTTTTAATTTTGTTTTTTAATATATTATATGAATATGCTCTATACCCAGTATGTTATTGATGACTTTATTTGTCTTTGAGTATTGGACCAACACCACGTTGTCAAATTCAAGACACTGAGAGTCGTGTTTGAATTAAAGAAGGTTGTCTCTACAAATCATATATAAGTATTATATTACCCAGTAAGATTTTGTCATGTGTGAAAACAATATCTTCCAGGCCTCCTTACGGACCGAGAGTTTTAATTATTTCGGATAATAATCTTTCCACCAAGATATTTGATTAAGAACTTAATAATCAATCTGGGTGCAAAATCCTCAAAACATGGCTCAATATCAGACGATGAGGTAATTGTCACGTGTTCGTTGATAATATCAGAATGATGATTACGTCGTGATCTTGGGAAGAATAATAACGGCACCAGTGAAGCTAATAGTAGCAAACACAATGAGTAGTATTCTATCGACAACAGCTGCTAACGCGATCCATTCCTCACGAATCTGTTACAACGAATACAAATCAAATATAATTATAATTCACAAATTGTTACTTTTGCTGTATAAAATTGAATCACAGGAGTACAGTGAGGAATCACGTGGGTGCACTAGAGAATCGCTTGGGAACACTTTTGAATCACGTGGGAACACTATAGAATCATGTGAGTAAACTTATAAGTCACGTGGGAACACTATACAATCACATATACATTACGTTAGAATGCAACCAGATGATATAATATGCAATATATATATATCATTATCTGTTTTACCATCAGCACCTCACGGGAGTATTGTTTAACGGCGTGCAACGAATCCCAAAATAATTCTTCTGGAGCAAGACTACTAATCGAATTGCATAAATTCAATCCGGCAATTTTTTTGAAATTCAGATTAAAATTAATTTATTTTATTTTTGAGAGTTTGTTTTGGCTAGTGCATCAGTATGTAAGTCGCACGTATATCACCAAATAAACAGGTAATGAGCCCCAGCAATTCGGTGACAGCCATATTTGATTTTAACCCAAATCGTACTGTTTTACTTACGGTAGCCGTTTAGCTCAACAAAGAGTTTTGATCGGTAACCAACCACATAATTATTAACATTATCGCGTGTAAGGAATGAATTAGCAACACCATGTGATAATTTATGTCCATGGCGAAACAAGCAGAAACGGGCAACATATTATGGGTAATTTACTTTGAATAAGTGGCACTGGTATGTCATTATATAAACTACTTGAACGTGGCTTATACATTTGATTTAAACTGGCCAAGTTTGTGTAAGTTAGTGATCACTTGGTCAACAAAGCAGACTGTATAGCTGCCAGTTTGACCATTCATAACCATGTAGTTAATATCGTTCGGGAATACATGTCATATTGACTTATCATCAGGTCTGTATTGGTAACGGAAACAAATTGTACTAATTTAAATTAATTCTTCCCAGTGGACACTGGATATTTCTCAGTGACGTGTATTTTCATTATTTTAATGTGTAACCATTTTTATGAATAACTATCAATCAAGATTATATATATTAATATTCAAGTACAGCTTTATAAATGTTTATCCGTTAGAAATATAATTGTTGTTGTATACTTACCTCAACAAATGTCTCATCTGGGGCAATATGCTGCATTATTTTATGAACGTAATCTACAAGTTTATCTAGTCGACTCACAATTTTCTTGTAGTATTTGTCTTCATATATGCACATTTGAGTGTATCGATATTGATTTCGTCTCTGCTTGCATATAGCTTTTATATAACAACGTGCCTGTGCATTAAGTTGACTATGCAATCCTGATTGACATAGACGGGGCAAGTCACTCTCGAAAGATGCGTTTTCAAATTCTAAATTCGCAATCACTAATGGCGATTTAAGGTGCTTATTGCTTTTGTGGTTGACTATTGGACTGGTTTTAGAAATAGAATATACAGATTTCTTTCTTGTCCCCCTTCGTTTTACTAGCAGGATATCAGCAAGTTTTCCTAGCAGAATGTTCCTAGCCCAGTTAGGAACTCTCGTAGGACACCGATCCGCTCTGTTATATAGTCTAGACACGAACGCAGTCAACATAACGGAGAGTCCGATTAATATTATACTGAAGAGGAGATAGACAGTCACATACGGCAGCTCAACGGACGTGGCGGGTAACAAGTCAATTACGAGAAGATTAAATACGTATATTGTCAGCAAGAGTGAAATGCTCAGACTGACTTTGTCCGTTGACACCGATGGTAGACAAAATACTACCACAGTCAGCATTGATACAACTACACATGGAAGAATCAAATTTACAATATAATACAGTGGTTTACGTTTGATTTCCATGGTAACGATTATGCTCGTGAAGGTGTCTGACACACCCATGAAGGTTTTTGCGATGGCGACTGCTTTTGTTGTTAAAATATCCCACTCTACATTAGGTATGTACTTTTCCAGAGGTGCGTTGTCTTGCTGGGGTCGCAGGACCACCTGCCTGTCTGTGTACGCCCACATTCCGAATTCGTACTCACAGCTCTGGACGTCGACGGGAAAGTATGTAATGTCCATGATGCACGGTGTATGGAGGATTTGTGGCGTGACCTTGAACACAACTCCGTTGCTATGTAAAATCAGGTTCAATCCATTGATATTTAGCCTGGGAAATCCTTCGAATTCATTGTCGTCACTTTCGGAAAATTGTAGAAAAAAAATACAATATTACCGTTATAAATGTGTACAGTGACTTTATAGTCAACACATTGACAATGTGATAATTCGAAACAAAATTTGAAACTGATCATAAATTTAAATAAGTGTTCGTATATTGTTACTATAAGAGATATAATACTAGACATAAATACGTAAAGCTAACCTGTTTAAAAGAGAAAGATCCGGATTCCAAATTCTTCCAACTGGCACAACTACAGATGTAAGACCTTCATAGTCGCATTCACGCCATGATAATCGATGATCTGTCCATTCCTAAAAGAACCGATACACATTTACATAATCGTGACACATTATCATTATATATAAAATACGACACTTTTATATAATTCATCGAATTATGCATTGTTCAATTGTTATGAGTTGTGATTAATATTTCTAAAATAATAAAATGTATTATACCAAGTCAGAATGGGAAATCTGTACACGACTGCAAAGATAAACCCGAGGATATGCATATGAAAACACACTAAACTTTAATATTTATATTCAAATAACTTTTTTTAAATACTATCAGTTGCCCAAAATAATGTTGTCCCGAGTCTTATTTGGGTAAACAATTATTTCACCTGGAACTATAGTTTTTTCAATCATATTTTAGACTTCTGACCTCATTATGGTAAACTACCCTTTTCGAGATTGAGGTTTATCATTCAAATATAAAAACTATATGTAGATATTGAAAAGGTAGTTGATTAAACTGGTATTTTTTTTTATTCTAATCTTAAATGACTTACACAATATACAATCGCTTACAGCAAAAGACTATGATGGAGGACTAGTGTGTCATGGAATTCTAATCGCTATGACTAATTGTATGTTAAGAACACAGTTATTGCAGCTGATATGGATGTAGAGTAGTTCTTCCATAAAAGAGTATTGCGTAACAGCTAATGTGGCACATTTTATGTTATCTTTTCCACTTATTATTATTGTTATTTTCAAATTTGCACATTTGCGCATTGCTGTAAATACTACCATTTGACGTAACAGTTATGAACACTAATGACTAACAATGCTTTATGTTTACCTACTATCAACATTGCCTCAAATACAAATGCATCTGCGCATGCTCACAATTTTATTTAAATTACATTTAGTAAGATTTCAGATCACATTTGCTATTTGAACTCATTTGGGAAGATATATCATATTTATGATAGTGACTAATTCTCCCTGGTAATGTGATTTACCAGGTTTCAAAACAATCTGTATATATCTGTATTTTATCCCGAGGTTTAATTCTACGTAATATTTATTCATAGAACAAATTGCTTCAATCTTTATTTTAAATGTAATCTAAGCTCGGTCCCTTTTTTCATTATATAATGATTACCTAAAAGCTTCCTAAAATAGTTTATGTATTGCACTTTGATGATCCTCTTTGATTTCTTCTGATAATACCACTCACATTTAGTTATGATCTAATCTTATAGTCTATACCGTGTGGTATAAATAGCATGGATATATTACCTGTATCGTATTTCTTTATTTTGCCAAATTAATTCTGACATTCCAATCAAACCATAGATTCATTTGATAATGGAAAACCCAAGGTGAACGGTAGATTTAAAACAAACGTCAGATGAAATAAGAACGAACTGCTCAGATAAAAGGAATCAAAATATACTAATTACTCACCTGATATATCCACGCACTAGTCGTGATTATTTGAGCTTTCTCGTCCTGAAGAAAAAAATGAAAATGTTATCCACCAAAACAATATTTATAATTAGAAAAATTACGAACGCCACAATGATTCTTAAAAATTAAATACATACGTTATCCATTAATAAAGATGATTATTGACAAAATACAACTAATTTCGGAACGAAATTCCCACTATTTAATGAAAACATAAGAATGTCATAATTTCCTGAAAAAATAACAAATAATAATCTATCTATGCGTTATTAGGTGCATTGCCACGCACATTCATGGCGTGCCACCATTGATGGAAATGTTTACTATTCAATGTATACGTACCACATCTATTAATTGTGTTAAGGACATCCAGAAAAAGACTTCTACCGTGTCATTTACTTCATGGATTGGACGGGATAGTACAGTGTAGTTGTCCAGTAAGTGATGCAGTAGTCGTTCTTCACTAGATAAGTAATTATCATCTGGAAATTAACATTATATAGGATATTAGTATAACTAACATCATTTACAGCAAAACAGCATATACCAAGCAAATACGTTACAAAATTACTTTGGTCACCGATAGCACCGATAACAATAACATTTTCTGTTCCGTGAAAAGCCGTATCAGTACACGTTTCAAAAAATAGCAAAATTTATCCTAACGTTCGATTTGCTTCTAATATGGGGTAAACCACGTAACCAACATTGACGCGCTCCTCGATATTGACGTCAATTTTTTTGTTGATATTGAACGCATAATCACGTCAATTAACGCAAAAGTTCGCTTAGCGCAACACGTTTTTTATTGTCATTACAGACAATAATATCTTATTACATTATTTCTAAAAAGTATAATAATAATGTTATAACAAGAATACCGCAATGTATGTACTCAAGTAGTGCGACTCGCATTTTTGGTATTCTCGTTATCTCATACCATATATTAAAAACAAATGGGGGAAAATCTGTCTTCAGAAATGTACTTGTATCAAGTTTTCAAAGCGCACTAAATATTATATTACCATGAACTGCTATGCGAACACAGTATGTCCTCTATTCCATTGAATTGTACATTAGCCATTAATCGATTTGCTGGTTACTGACCTTGTCTTGTCCGTAATGAACCTAAGCTGATTAATAGATTGCCCCTACGTCATAAATAGCCAATACGAGACGTCAGAAGCTAATACACACAACTGTCGCGAACTTTAACTCTATTAAGTCTAGGAGAGTAGATTTTCGATAAATATCAGCCGATCACTCACAATACACACGACTCCAAATAAAGCATTACACAAGTTTAGTGTCACACAGCTTGACTATTCCAGGTCAAGTTGATGTTGCCACAAAACTTCCTAACTTGAATCATGGCTATGCAATTCTAAATGTTGAAATTCGCACTATCATAATCATAACAATAAGACAATGGTGTGGCAATAAGACTATAATAAGAACGCAACTAAATTAACTAACAGTTGTTGATTAAAAACTGTAAAGAGAGTTCTAAAATTTGGAATGGGGATAATACTTACTTAAAGCGGGGGAGTCGTCATCTGCGTCTGCGTCAGATGGCCATAGCGTGTTATTGTTTACAAACAAGCGTATAACCATGAGCCTTTGTGTTTTAGCGTGAGTTGTTATCGTCGGTTGCGTGCTCAGGTGACGACCCTCCCGCTTTAGAAAACAGCATTATTATCTAAAATATCCCTTACATGTAAGTCTAGTGGTATATAAACCAAGTGTATTTAAGTTGATCTTTGATATTTATCACATACTGTCACATACTGTTTCAGTATTCCTGACACAAAGTATATGAACCGATCACCTCCAGCAGTATGATGAAGTTTACTCCGGTCCCACGATAGAAATTAAATCGAACCCATAAAGTGATCGATATTTACACTTGGCGTCTCTGTAAGACTTTAATGGTGAGATCAAAGCTCAGTTTACTAATGTACGGGTGTTACTTGCGGAGACATTTGGTGTAGATGTGTCATAGAAATATGGTCCTTGTCATGTTCTCATATCGGTTCAATATAATTCTGTATAAAAACATGCACTATATATTCACACACACACGCCATACTAGTAATCTTAATGAAATTGAGATGGGAGGGGGGTAAAGGTGGGATAACCTGACCTTTAAACCAATATTCATTTTGAATAATAGTTTTATTATTTTTACTGACATTATTGAATGTATCGTTAGTATTCAAGTGTTGCTTATTACGAATATTCCCGAAGTAATCACATATATAATTTATTATACAAATCAAATTCTCTTTCAAATATAGCAAAGAATTATGTGTTTTAAATTTAATGAAGCAACACATACACAACTATATACTACTAGGATTATTTGTGTGCGTAGTTTATAACCATAGGCTATGTTTAAAGCTAATATCCAGAAAATTATCAAGGATGCAGACCACGTGCACGTCACCGACATTTCTGAATCGCGGCAAACTGACCCGATCGTGCCCATCACGAATACAATGATTATATTTGAATACGTAAACAATCAAGATGTCTGCACCTGATATCTTAAATGTCCCATCTCAAACAAAACAGGATAGCAATGCGACAGATCACCTGTGGCAAAAAAACAAACAAAAACAGAATACTATTTTTATCGCCATACAGTATGCTGGTGACAGGCAAACATAATATAATCACCATTCGAAATAGTCAGCGTGAATGTGAAATTAAGACGAGTGTATTTGAGTATTCACCAAGGCATGTGTTTTATCCGGTGCCTGACGTGTCAATCACAGTGAAACTATAAAGGCTAATTGATCAATATCCTCTTCGGACAATTCCAAGGAATTGAGACATTATCGGTAAAACTATGAAATTATGACAGATTAGTTGATGGTATTGGACATTTATTTTGTCAACTTATTGTATTTTATTTTATTTGCATATGCAAAATACTATTGGGGTAGTAAGATTGCACCATCATAGGTACCAATGCCAAAGCGATCTATAAATATGTCAGAAGTAAGACTTGAAGATAACTGGTTTACCACACAAACTACTGCAAATGAGACAGAAATTCGGCACCGTCTGAAAGCCCCGAACAGCATCTTTCAATCAAACTCATGTCAGTATGAAGTGTAATAACACAAATTGGGTGCTATTAGGAGGCGACAGGACTTTCTCCTGCTGCAAATTAAATGTCCTAGTGTTGAGCAAAAAGGAAATCTTTATTTGAAAGAGTAACAATATGAGACTATTAAGGGAAGCAGCCTCATCGATTGCAATATCCGGTAGCCTTGTCTGAATATAAAGTAAGGTAAAGGTACATTATCGGAGACTACACGATTCCACTGCTCGTTGATGTAGCACACAAATCACATTATTCTCTACTTTGAAACCTCCTAAGTCATGTTCCAGTCTGCATAAACATAGTTTTTGTCAGCCATACTAAGGAAGTTCGCTTATTTTATGAGGTTAAGCGGAAATGTATAAATATATTGTCAATTAACGGACACTGGAATACTTTAAATGCAAGAGTAATTGATTAACTTACGTTTTTGGTTTATTACTATATACGCTAATCGTTCATCGAGTTAATGCTGTTTATGACTGGGTGTTGAATAGTTCGAAATCATACATAGGGGCTACAAAACATCATGATATGCCGTTGACTACCTGAGTTAGAAAGCTCAATGTTGCACATATTTACCATCAGTTCTTAGCCAAAAAACTACGTAATGACGTTTACTTGAACACCTTTAACTCTTGGAATCCTATTAATATGTAAGGTGAATAATGATGTTCACAAACAAATTGTAGATATGTGCACCAGGTGGTTGATACTGCAGTGAAAATGAGTTTTCATTCTTGTATTGACCTTGACTATTAACGTGTTATGGGACAATATCCATTTATGTCACTATAAATTAACTAACAATGGTTTAATACTCATGATACGTCAATCATTGTGTGAATGCAGGACATCCGCAACTAATAACACGAACGATATCCTGTATGTATTTCCTTTTAAGCAAGGTGAATGTGTTATTACTGTCAGGGTAATCCATCAATTTATGTAAACACGTTTAAACTTGGTCACAAAATTTTATTTTTTAGATGTACACTAAATATACTATATACTAAGTATTTAATCATTCATATCTGTTAAAACCCTCAGTGTTAATTCGGTCTCTATGTTAACTAATCACCCTAAATCGAAACAAATCATTACACAGTGTTCTGAGTGCATTTGCTAAATATGTGAGCACACCGTCATACCATTTTAAAGCAATAATGAAAATGAATAGAATTCGCGTCTATTGAACTGCTATGAATGCATGGTATTTCTAAAAATGTGTTAGTTCAAGCGTTTGTAATTGAGTAATTCATCATATTTGAAATATAATGGTATTGATAACATAATAAATCAACTGAATGCTAACATATTTGACAGCTAGAGTAAATATTGCTTTTTAAGAATGCAGTGATCACTCAAATGTTGTCATGATTGCTAATGTAGCTATAGTAATTGATTTATGCTATTGTATCAATGTATGACGTCGGAGTGTTTTTCTGATTTGCCACTATCAATATTTTTTTAAATCTCAATGATGTGATTTACTTTCAAAGAGAAAAAAGTTCAACACGTTTTTAAGAATAGTATCATAAGGTCAATAACCTCGACCATTTACTTACTCCTCTAACTACAAGCAATAAATGGAATTAAAAACTTGCTGATATTTTAGTAAACAGAGTTTCTATACCTCGATCGTTTTACGGCAGTGAAACCAGTATCTACGTCATGAGGTCAAATAATACCAAATTATATTCACTGATGAAACATGAACAATTGTCGTTTTGTCTTGTGATGTACTTGAACAATTTACATTTAAACAAACAACCTATAGTATGTAAAAATGGCGCCCGAGCAGCCAGAGATTCGCCATTTTGTCAAAAACCAACAGTGATGTTCATCCTTCAATGAACGGATGTAGCGTATTTTTAACCGAATCTGTCGTGTTCAACAATATAATATGGAAATAACAAAACACGTAATTTGTAAAACCTACATCGAATGTGACATTTATTATTAATAGCGGCATAGTTGTTCTATTTTGACAATATAATATACTGAATAACTTTGTTTAATTTGTATGGTATACGTAGACACTAAGATTATAAAGTGCATATTTGATTGGTCAAAGGATTCAGTTGTACACATATTATGCATTAATTAATTATATTGTCTTTAGGGATTGACCTTCGGGGAATCATAGTATTACAACTAGATACGTAATGATGTGTGCAATATGGACAAAACAAAAACAAAATATTTGCCTTTTTTCCAAGCCTGTTCAGGTCATTTCAAATGTAATCTTTGTGGGCAATTATTTTTAAAAGATAACAAAATGGCTTCAAAACTTTCTGTCGATGACGAATATTAACACATCATAATTTGTCATATTTGATGTAGTATTGGATAATGGCAATTATTACGTGACGACGGACACTAATTTGCATAATTTGGGGGTTTGTGTTAATCTTATTACTTTATGGATTTGTAATCTCTAAAACAACGACAAACTGCCCAAATATCTGAAAAACAAACCGTCGATATGATAACCGATTTTTTAATTCTATGGTGAACACTTTTTTCTGTTGTCTTTCAAGTCTTCCATTTTTATTTTATAAGCACTATATTATAATGTGCAATGTGCTGTCAACGGAACCGAATCCATACCTACTTCAAAACCCGTTTCTTTCAGTTAAATTACTGACTTCCACAGTTCAAACGATTGACCAGTGTAAGGGTATTGAGTTCTGCACATGCGCAATTGTATCTTCCAAAGAATTAACCACGTTCGCTTGCTGTTTTGGGTGATATCAAATATGACCTCAATCAAATTGCAGCGTACATGCATGTCATATCATATGTGTCTATGATCCCCCAAACTGTTGGTACTGGATTGTATAATTTACTCACGATTCCACACATTCCAAAAAGCAGCCTTGCTGAATTTATCATATCTTTTGTTGAGTGATTAGTGGTTTTGTATCGCTAAGCATGTGTGTTCACCGTCTTAAACAGTGTTTCTCGTTGTTTTTTTATTTATAATATATATGACAGCATGTAATGAATTATCTATTGCATTTTGTTACACAAACAGAAGCTGCACTACAGTAGCCACAACGAATTAATATTCAAGAAAAAACCTCGGTGTCACACGACCTTTGCGACCTAGTGCTAATTTCTGCGCGTACCCCAGAGACGAGTCATTGATTATTAATAGCTTGAATAAGCCATGGAATATTAATCATTAAAGTAACGATGATACTAATACGCGGTTGTCAACATTGTCAAATGACACATTGCAGGTGACCTATATTTGTGGTGAAATCAATATATTTGTATTAGTTTATTTTCATAAATGCGTGTGTGCATAATAGCAAGGTATTCGATGTATCTACGTAATCTGAAATACGGGTTTCAATAACTTGAATGACAGTACCATATGTCTTTATGGTAAATCTAGGATGGTTGAAGATGTAGCGTATCTTGTTTAGTGAATAAAACGAGTATTATTATTTTAAAACGTCCACAAAAGCAGGTAGAAATCGTATAGGGCCACTTAGATGATTGGACCTCGTAGATAATACGCGGGTGTTTGTTCTTTGACCTCGGGCTGGTTAATCATTTCAGTTCATTGTATGTTTCCGTTGTAATTAATGTAGAATAGGGTAATGTATTTCTAAAATTTTCGATTAATGAATTGCTACTCATTTGAAAATACTTCTGAGATCTTGAAGGGGGCAATTACAAGAGAGGAAATCATAGAAAACCTGTACTGTGATAGTCGACAAGTGTTGGTCTCACGTAGATGATTTTGATAAAGATACTTATCTAAACCACGGGGAGTTGGACAAACTTATGTATTTTAATAAATTATTAAATAATAAATTGTTATATAACTTTTCCTTTACCCACCCTTCTTGGTATTGATTTCAAGTAATCACTGATCCTTGTTTATACCACTCTTTCCTTTATCACAAATTTGTTATGCGCTAATGTTATATGCAAATTTG